TCGTGGACAACGGCGAAGACCAAGAAACGAAAATTTCTACGCATAGTCACGTGTTTTCGTCAATATGCAACGGTTGGAACGCGATTGCAGTGCATATCAATGTGCAAGAGCCAAGCCTCACATAGTTGTGGTTTTTTCAGATTCGCTGATGCATCAATGATGACTACTAATTTTATATAAATAAATAAATACACATATATGTATATATATATATATATATATAAAATATTTTCTTCTATGTTAGTTCCCAAATTATAACTATTTATATAATACATAAATTTAATAAGTAAACAGCAATTATATATAATATGGTATAAGATCTCGCCCGATTATCGAAAATATTGGTATACTTATTTATCTTGGGTGTAATTCAATTTAATTTTTTATTTCTTTAATTTAACGCGTAAGCTTAAAATTATACTATTAACGTATAAAAATAATAATTCCATTATACATTGAGTATTTTTCAACAAGAGATATAAATGATACAGAGTGACAGTGAATCATTTCATCATTATTATTATCACCACATAGAATAAGCGAATGAAGATGTTTAGATTTAGCACGTAAAAATTGTTTATATATTAACATTGAAAAGGTTCTAATGTAAGGACAAAACGTTTGTTAAATATTATAATTTACAAGACATTAAATATTAGCAATCAAGAACTAGTGATGGTTCTTAACTCTTTTTATCTCTTACTATTGAATCATTTCATTTTTGTTCAACATTAGCAAATAAAAATGTCATAATTTATTGCGTTATACACTATATAATCTATGTTTCTTGCTGAAAAACATCCAAATTACCAATTAACGTAATAAATAATAATGTTATAAAATGAAAGTGTTCTAATGTATAGCTTTGCGGACAATGTTGAAAATCGTAGGATCGATTCCGGTCATCGGCCTCGAATCGCGCGTCTTCTTAAGTACGAGAGATCCGATCCGCATATTTCGCTTAGCTTTACGTCAACACGTGCGCGTTAACGTTTGCAACTCCTCGCTGGTTGCCAGCAATCGAGCTAGGTTGTGCACGCATCGCGAAACATCCGGTGCTTTAACGCGGCTCGTGAACTTAACACCCCGTCGAACCTGGGGCGCAGAACCCGCCGCCGTTTTCCGCCAGAATGAACATATACACGCCTCTCTCTCGCATGAGATATCCACGTCTACTACATCGTTCGTGAGCGGTCGGCTGGCCAGCGTATACTTATCGCGAGTCGCGTGAACTCACAGGTGTTAAGTGCATGCCTATCTACGCGGCTAAGTATACAGGCGGCACGCAAACCCTGCCAAATTAACACGCGAAAGTCACGAATCGCGGGTAGCCTCGCCTCCGATCTTTGAGCCGCTCTTTCGCACGATATAAGGAATAGATCCCTCCGTTATTGGCGAAGATACCTGTGGGTTAAGTCGAAAGCCATAGCGTAACTTCTTAGCGCATTTAGATACTAGCGTTTTACTCAAGAATCAGAGAAAAGCTCATTTCTTATGAATTGTCATTATACAGGGTGTTTCAGGATCTCTGAACCAACTTCAGTGGATGGTAGATCTCATCAAAAGAATCATGCTTGGTTTATGCTTCGGTTTTAACTTTGATTAATATCCTAAAATTCAGCCAATAGGTCTGCCAGTCCTAATTGGTCCTAATTGAAATGTATTCCATTGACTGAATTTTAGGATTTTAGGTAAACCCTTATAAAAAAAATTAAATTTAATTGTCATTTCGGATCACTAATGCCTAGTTCGGTGTATTTTTTTATAAGGGAAGATCAAAGCATAAATCAGGCATCAACTTTTGTTAAGGAATCTGGTTCTCCGACGCATTTTAAGGAGCTATGCTGCATCCCATTATGTGTGACGTCTGATAATACTAGTTCATATCTTTTGATTTTATTTTTTGCAAAGACAACAAAAAGGCAACAATGTTTGACTTATGATAGTCGTGCAATGCTCAATCAATTCCATATCTCAGCCGGTTCAAATCAGTCTTGAAAGATCATTGGAGATCACTCGAAGTGAACGAATGTTGGCTTCAGTCCGAAGACTTTTTGTTAGTACCTGCCAAATCAAAATCGTGCATTGTAATCTTTTTTTATATTCCTATTGAAGACTTTAAATTATATTTTTTCGCTCTTCTCTTTTGTACTGCCTTTCTTGAGGCAAATGCCGGTTAATTTCCGAAAAAGCCGATCCGAATAAGAACACACAGCTCCTTAAAATCTGTATCGGCGAACACAGATTCCTTAACAAAGTTGATTCTTTTAATGGGATCCATCCGCTGTGAAGTTTGTCCGTATAAGTTACCGCCTTTTTCTTATAATGAGATGACGTTTTAAAACGTGACATACATGTCGTTGCATAAGAACGTCTTTGAAGCTTCGTTTAAAGCAAAAGCGCAAAAGTAAATTTGGCAGGACCCGTAAATTCGATGGACGTGGGCCGTTCTTGGAACAAGGGCGTCGGTAATTGAAGTGGACGCAATCGAGAGAACTGAGGTGCCGAAACGGGTCTTAAACGAGTTCCAAAGATGAGATAAGGACCCCCGTAATACCGGGGCAAGATCGATTGTGCGCGCGTATGTGTAGGAAGGAAGCGCTTCGGGCAGTGTCATATTTTACGACTCATTTTGTTATGTCCTTTCTCGCGTCACATCGCGGCCTTATAAATTCGCACAGATACTTAGCGGTGCTCCGACGACTCTTTCGAGACCGTTTAACCGTCGTTCGTAACTTTTTGTCCGCCTTTATCCGCACTAAGGACCGTCATAATTCCAGAAGTAAATGCGCGTAAATCAGTTCGTAGAATATACCTTGGCTTTCAACGAGGGTCTAACACGCTAAGCGACGCGGTGATAATTTTATAGATACATCAACGAAGATTACGCCAATCCCTTACGGCAGTTTTAGAGAGGAGATAAAAGAAAGGAGCGAGCAATCATTTTAATATTCTCCATTTTTGCGAATCACAAGATTCTATACCTGTAGATTTTGTCAATCTTAATATTTTCATTGTCAATATGAAATTATTATACGTTCCTCTTCTAAAGTAAAGACAAATACGTGTTGCGAGGGTATAATTATCACTACAATATCTCTTGACCAGTCATCAACCGGCGCGTCCACGTTGCACAAGTAGATAGACCTCTTAATAGTGAACGGTGAATATCAGCTTTCGAGAGACGTGGACGAAACGTGGGTCGAGTTTAACGAAAATTAAATCTCGCGTAATTTCGCCGCAATTAAGCGCAGACCGGTAATTTGCGTGCCTCTACGTAGCAATCTTTCGCAGTATTTTTAGCGCGCGCGAGCACGAGTGAGAGAGAGAGAGCGAGATCTCGGTTTCAGGATCGAGATAAGCGGATCTCTCGCTAAGAAATAAGTAGTTTAAGACGGTTCGCGTGGCCGGAGATTGGTCTGACGTCGTTCACCACCACTGCCAAGAGTGGGGCAGTGTTTTATGCGCGGAGCCCTGGGTGTTGTGCATCGTGTATCCACAGGTGCATCCCGGCCGCTCGGTCGGAGCGCGTCGAACCTGCCGGTTCCGTGCCGGGAAGATACGAAACCGTGAATTGTGAAACGTTCAGGAGTGTCGCGCAATCTACGAAATGTTATCGACGCGATAAACGGTGGATTCGAAGGTGCGAGCGCGATATACCCGCGAGCGCGCCGATGTTATCGCGGATAATCGATGTGCGAAGTTAATTCGGTAGCCCGATACGAGGATCAGTCGATGTTTAAAAACATACACGCCGGATTCGAGCGAAAACAAACCTTCCTGTTTGGGATCTTGCGATTTTTTTGAACATCATGTAATTTCGAGGAGAAACGTTTCACGCTTTCTGTAACGAGCACTTTCGATATATCGGGTGGAAGTAATGACGATACTACCGATGAAGATTCAAGTATCCCAGAAAGTATTATCGTCGATAAATATATGCATTTTAAATTTTACAGTAACTGTGTATTATTTGCATAAATGTCTGTCGCTTCGGACAAGATAAAGAATGGAAAAATGATTTTATAAACATTTATCGTTTTAATTTTGTTCATCGATGAGTGATACTTTACTTGCACAAGTAGAGAAATGATAAGTATTCAGATCACTATTTGTTTTGAAAGTATTCGTAGTACAAATAAGTGCAAATAAATACTTAATGTCAATAATATACATATCGTCGTCAACAAAATAAACAATAAAGCGAACTTACGAGTCACCTAGAAATTCGTATTTTGTCGAATCATCATAACAAAATCTGCATAGAGCACTCAACATTTACGACGTCGCCGAATTCGGTTATAATTATCGCTGCTTAAACTTAGTTAATTATATAAATTATCAAAATAAATAGTTTTGTAGTTTTTGTAGTCCAAGAATAAATCAAGTGTAAATAAATTACAAGAAAAATTTCTGATTGAAAATTAACGATAGCCAGTATATTCTAATCATATCAATCAGAATTCTGATCATCATGATTGAACAGCTGATTATTTCTAGAATTATAATAGGTTTATGAAATTCTAATTTGTTCATTTTCCATTAGAATTCCAATTAATACAACTCTTTTTCAGTGTTCTTATGAAGTCAAATTATGAATAATCGTTCGCTCCGAATAGTACACAGTGAACTTACGATATTCACACTTTCGCACGAGAAGCTACTTCGGGATCGAGAGGGTAGACGCAAGGACCGATCGAAAAAAACTCGCTTGTTATTCGCGTGCCGGTGGGATCCCGTCGTCGTCGGTACCGGGGATGCCCCGGCATCCCGGCATCCCGACGCGATGGTGGGGAAAGATGATGCCGGCGGCGCGAGGAGAGTAGGAGGCGAGAGCGCGCGAGCGACGTGCCAGGCTTTGGGGTTCTGTCTGGTGGTGGTGCCGGCGCGGCGGTTTGTGAGAGGAGCCGACTGATGCCGATGCGCTCGTGTCGCGTCGCGTCGTAGCGAGACTCAAGCGAGTGAAGCGAGAGCCGACGAGCGCACATCGCACTCGCAACGCGCGCAAGCCACAACGACAAGTCGTTCACGTTCACGACTCACGACTCACGTTCGCTCCGCGCCGCCAGTCAGCGACGGTCATCGCCGGTGCTTTCACGGTGTCTCCGCCGTATGGCCATGCGTCGCTCCGCCGACCTGGTCACGATACTCACGATCGCAGGAGTACACATCGTCGATCGCCGAGGACGCCGAGCCGTCAGCCCGGCGCGTGCGGGGACGAACGGCAGACGGCGCGGTTCACCCCGAGCGGAGCATTGCGGGCGTAACCCGCGTAACATTCGGCCTGGGAGAGGATCGTCGTGTCGAGAAACGATTAGCGAGAAGCGATCGCTCGATCGATGAGGCACGGGATCACGCGATATCGGTTCGCTGCCGTGTCGCTACGGGACGTGTCGTTATATTCTCACGAAGAAGTTGATCGCAGGATATATATGCGCTTGGGTATTCCGCCGCTTTCTCGTCGGCTTTACGAAGGGAAGTCCATCGCGCGTCTAAACTTTACTTACTTGCCACTCGAAAAGAGACTTCGTTCGCTATTCGGCGAGTGCCAATAAAAAATTGCGAAGAAAAAGAAGAAGAAGAAGAAGAAGAAGTTCGCCTGAACATAGTCAGTGAAAGGATCATCCGGGCAAAGTAACTGTAACCCTGCCGACGACTCGCATCCCCCGAGAAAAGTCGCCGCTGCGCGCGGCACGCAAGCGGGAGGATCTTGCCTATCGCTGCGTCGCTTCGGCCGAAGCGAGTCAGTGCTACTCTCGATTTCCGCGCGAGTACCACCGCTCCCGGTCTCTCGACATCGAGGACGGATTACAGCGCGTCGCGGTTCCGATTTCACGGCGTGTCGGATTCCGAGTCGCGAGTTCGCGCCGACGATTCGTCACTCTGAAGAGACAGCGGATTTTCCGCCGAATGAGCGAAAACAACAAACGCAGTTCGTGAAAGTGATCGAATGGAGTGCCAGGGACAATCAAAGGAATCGAGGATTTTTCGTTCTTCAAGTCTGGCGATCTGGCGGCGGACGTTGATGAGAATCTGTCGAGTGTTGTAATTATCTTTTGCGCTCGCGATACCAGTTTGACATCTCGATTTCGCGAGGAAAGACTCGGAACACAGAAACGGAACAGCTGGACGATGCGACGGCGGAATCGTTTCCCATGTCTTTTCTGTGGCTGAACTAGTACAGTTTTGGAACTTGAACAGAGATAGATGTATGTTCGATATTTGATGAAAGCGACAAAGAGAGTTTTAGTGCAGGAATAAAAAACAGCTCTTGAATACAAACTTGTTAACGCACTGCTACCGCATACGAAACCGCGACACCGCGAGGGTTTAACGCAACGCTCTTTGGCATGGTTACGTAAACGACGGTTGTTGCGCGCTGGACCGACCCGAAGGTGGTTTTCTCCCGGGAGGAAGTGAACAGAAAACGTCGAGCAGCGACGCCAGCGATATCCCGTCGTCCTCTCTCCGTGCACGACGGTGGAAAAAAAAAGGGAAAAACAGGAGAACGCCGCAAGACACGTGTCCATTATCGGCAATTGCGCTAAGCCGATCGCGCGATCGAGAAAATCCTGTCCTATCTCCGAAACGACGACGATTTCTCCGACGAGTTTCACGATCGACTGGTTTTGCGGAAGAGATCGGCGAAAAAAATCGCAGGAAATATTTTCAACGCGACTCCCCCGACTTCAACGGTGACAAACGATGAGTGATCTGACACTATCGATCGTCTCTCTCAGAGCGATGTTGTGACTACGACGAGCCGAGTGTCGACGTAACGTCATCGTGTGATCAACAGTCGCTATTTTATTGCCGAGAGCGTCAAGATAGCGCGTGGAACGTAGTGACGGTGTAATCGCAACGATTCATCAATTTCTCAGTAAAGAATATAAACAAAGGAAAGACAGGACACTGGTATAGCCAGACTTATTTATAGTTATATCAGGAAGTTAAAAAAAAAATAACATACAATTATTTAGAATTATATCAAGAAATTATAAAAGTAATCTGAGAATAACAATAAACTCAAAATCCTAAATCAGGTGTCATATACTCTCAAGGAGAAGGTGAGATAAAATCTACGCTGGTGAAATAAATTCCAAAACTCTCCTAAATACGAGAGGACAATATTTGAGGCACCATCTGGCCTGAAATTGTTGCAGCCGGAGGGCATTCAGTGTCGAGACGCGATCGGAAGGAAGTAACGTATAGTTCTCTCCACTCTCGATCGGGACCATCATATATCTCGCGTAATGCACGTAAATTATGCGTCTCGCGTTTCTTTCTCCGAAGAAACGGAAACTAGAGGCAAGAACGAGCGAGAAGCGCGTTTACATACCGAGATAACGCGCCTGTGGCGCTTCCTTCACCTACGATCTTCTTCCCGCCTCTCGTTACCGCGGTGTCCGCGGTGAGAAACAAAGTGCTTCGTGACTTCGATACGGATCTTTGGTGTCAACGTGTCTTGTCTATTTACGATCAAACGTGTCTGTATTTGCGTAACGTTACACGCGTTTCTCGCGTGTGTTAAGTGTGCCATGCGAGAGGACCCCGTCGCGACTCGCCTTTGAAATTCGTCCAGTGGGACGCCCGACCGATCTTTCGTGACTCACGCGATTCGGGGAAGCTCGCGGATGCCTATCTGTGATTTTCTCGGAAGTTCGAGGAGAACGGCCACGCCATAATTATGCATTCCGACGAAGAATGTCGATGCAACGCGAGAGAGTATTTTAGACTTACGTCAAGGAATGAATGGAGGTCGTGCGAGATTTGAGAAACGGCGAAAGTCATCGGCGGTTCAAGGCGAATTCAAGGGATTTTTCGATTAATTTGTCTGACATCTCCGCGATGAAGAAGAGAATCGAGTGATATTTCTCTGAGCGAACGCGCGAAACGTCCGATACCGTTATATTCGAGCTCATATGGCTGAGAATCCATTTGCTTAGATCTCGAAAGCAAACCCGTCGATAATAATATCTCAAAGAGTGTACACGTCAAGTAACTCGCGCGACGGCTCCTTTCTTACTTCACCGCTCGTAAGTATCTTGATGATCGTTACGTCTGACCGGATCTTTGTTCAAGATGTTCGACGAATCGTCTTCTGAAAAATCGTGAATCCCCATAAGAATCGTTAGACATCGAGGAGAGTTTAACGTCCGTGGTGTTGCTGTTCGCAGAAACTGAAACACTTCGATCCACTTTGAGTTGCAGCTACGCAGGAATTCCTACGTTGCTTCTTTCTGGTGAGTGTTTTCAAGTAAATTACGCGTAAATAATTAAGTATGACGTAAAACGTCGCAAATGTTTACATACTTATTTAATCTGAATATTTTCGAACGTGACATGTATTCGACATATGAACTCAAGACGTAGTAATATATATTTCTGTTAATTATTGTATATAAGCTAAGAGTAAAATAGCCGAGAAAATAGCAGATCGATCTAGATCTGTTCTCACGGCTGAGTGAAAATATTTCACGGTAATTATTCACTCGCTAGGTTTGCAGAATCATTGACAGGATAATTTATTGATTGACCGCCACCGAGTCGCGCCGTTAATTTTTCTCGCCGCGTGTCGAAATTAACATAATCAAGTGTACGAGCTAGGAACGAGGCTCTGAGCTCTAACTAGTCTTGAGTAGATAAGAAAAAAAAGGGACATAAAAACGTGGGAAACGCGATATCCTTGCAGACGCGTGCGTACACTGCATGCGTGCGTGAGAGGCTCTATATCGACGTGATCGGCCGCGTGCGACGTAAACAATTTGAGGGAGACATTCAACTTTAACGCATTTCAACGATGATCATTGTATTGTGAGAAACAATAAATCCGTGAGTCGTGCGCGTCGAGTGAAGATAAAAACAGCGAGAGATCGAAAGGGAAAGTCGCTGATACAATGAGAAAAATCGTCTGGTTGGATTAAATAGTAATTCTGAGAATCTCTAGAGAATCTGGACGAATCAGAATTTTCTAGTTAAATTGGAATTTTAGTTGAGATAGCTAGAATTCTGATTGATATAATTATTCTGGTAAAAATGAGAATTCTGATAGATTTTACTAGATATATTGTATTAATCAGAATTCCGGTTATCTCAACTAGAATTCTAATAAATTTAACTAGAAAATTATTAGATTTGTCCATTTTCTATCAGAATTTTTTTTTAGTGTACGAAAAAGAAAGAAAAGAAGATACAGAGGTGTAACAATCGCACATTTTTCCACAATAAATTGTTCTAATAAGCATCTAACGATACGAAGCAAAATGTTCTGGTTATAATAAATTAACAAAAAGGTCCAATCAGAATGACATTTTAGTGAGGCCAAATAAAATTTCTGATTATAATACCTAGAAGATCTTTTTATTGGTTTAACCAGAATATTTATCGGTCCGTTATTTCTACCAATTGTAGATTAACTTTAATCTCAGTTCAACTTACTCTTGATCTTTTTCCAAAGATTTGAAAAAGAAGAAGAATAAATTAAATCGAGATTAAAATTAACCCACATTGATAGAAATGGACCTCAGTGTAGATCTATTTATTTATTTATTGTATAATACGATATCGAATTTACGGTTCTTCTCAAACTCTACTCGTTTTAATTATTTATAGTAGTATTAACTAATCTAAAAGAGAACGCGATTGAGCGAAATCACCTCGCACAGGCGATGCGAACGTGAAACGTGAGATCGTAAATCGTGGTTGCACCACGTTTCGCGGGATACGCCCCGTTAACTCGCGGGTTAAACGGCGCAGTCCGCCCACCTTTCGGGGTGAACAACGCTCTTCTTGTTTGCCCTTATTCCTCTCTCTCCCCCGTTGGGAATCGGTACACGGAATCGGGGGAGGAGATCGTGCTCGACCTCTCGTCGATTTCCGATCGGGTTAAGCAAACATCGGTCGGTTCTCACCTCTATCGCGATAATGGCTGTAATTTCGGCAGCTTCCCGGTCCCCCACCTCCGTACTCTCTCCTCCCCCCTTTCCTCTCGATTTCACGTACGCGTACGCGCAGATTGCAGAGGCCGATCGCGGTGGATTTGATTGCACGGCGCGCGACCGCCGATTTATTAACGCTCTGAGCGCTCGACGTCCTCTCCTCCCACCTGCACCCGCATCGATCTCACGGAATGAAGTAAAATCGTCTACCCTGAGGTAACATTCTTACGTCCTCTTTCGCGAAATATAGTCAACGAGTTTTTACTGCGCGTGACGGCGAGCTTCGTGCTCGTTACACATTTCTCGTCGTCGTCAAGTGTTTAAAGTACTTTTTCATGTTTCACGATACTCGTTTTCGGTGTCGAAATAGATCGTTATATGAAAAATAATTGACGCTAAACAGTGAAAATGCATGAAAAGGAATATCATGTATGTACTTTAACTTCGTTCTCTTGAACTGAACAAGCTAACGCTGAAAGTTACATAAATCCAACTTTTAGCGTTAGACGTTAGTTGCTTTCCATTTACAATAAAATTCAAATAATTTTCTTTTATTATGTCATAACTCAGTTGAACGTACCGTCCATTTTATTCTGACAAAGTGAGATTCAACTGAGTTTTTACCTACAATCTACACAAGCTCGAAACCATCGATTGTAGGTAAAAACCCAGTTGAATCTCACTTTGTCAGAATAAAACGGACGTTCAACTGAGTTATGACATCATAAATGAAAATTATTTGCTTCATTGAACTTCTTGCTAACTCACATTAAAAGTGAGATTATAAACCTGTGTTGTTATGCGATAACTTTGTCACCAAAGCAAGTAATGACGTCATATGTGAATATAAAATATTTACACAACTATTTAGACTCAGTGTGAGTCACTTGCGTGAAAATGGAAAATAACTATAAACGTCAAAGTGACACGCTGACGTTTTCAGTGTTTCGTGAAATGGCACCTTTACAGTATTACAGAGGGATCAAAGTGTCCGAAGTTGCCATGTCGAATCCCTTTATCCCTAATGAAGCGACGTCTCAGCCACTTAACTGCTTCCGCGAGATCGGTTTATTAATCGCCACTGTCCGCGACGCAAATGATGGCTATCTATCAAGCCGCATTTTACTATTGGTTTTGCGCGACGCGGGGCGTGCGGTGATCCGCCTCTGTGCGCGTGCACGTGTTGCACGATTCGTTCACTTCAATTACATGAATGTACGTGCGTACACACTACATACATACTACGCTTAGATGCCCGCGAGAGACGGCATCTGAGGCTGCGTTGCACGTAGTGTGCAATGAAGTGCACATCCGACATGCGCGCGCGTCTAGACGTCGACTTCAGTGAGCATTATCCGGAAAGAATCACGATGAAACGACGCATTTTCCGTGCAACATATTACCACGTGTCAATAGTGGCTTTCAGAAATTTTTTCATACGCTCGCGCGAGCAACGACACGTCGCTCATCTCACTTCTAAACCGGTCTTACCCCCTTCATATAAAGTATTATGGATGTATGAACGATCCGTTGAAACGAGTCAAAGCGAGTATACCATTGAGCTTTTTACCTTACATGCAGATTCACTTTCCAATCCCGTTAATCACTATTACGGTTGTAAAGCAAAGACTCGATATTAATGTGAAGCTATAAGGCTGGAGCAGATCTTTAATAATGCATAAAGCATAAGAGTATCAACTAATCAAGATCCTTCATTTCAAGGAAAGGAAAGACTCTGATCAATCCTCTTAATAAGATAATTCTATACATGGTTAATAATACTGATCAGTAATATTGAATCAATAATACTGACAGTATATATTAATATTTTAGTATTTTTACAATCTTACACGAGTATACTGCAAAAAGTAAAATATTAATTTTAACTAAAAAACGTATAGTGGACTTTCTGAGACATGCAAAAATGTTAAAATTAACATTTCTGTGTTGATTGTGACATACTATGATATATGGATCTCTAATAATGCGATATTGACTACATTTATGCAACATTTTTAATCGACCTTAATAATATTATTCGTAGTTATGAAACTGGACAATCACAGTCATTTTTCATAGGAATATAGCTATGATTGTCAGTTTCATAACTTCAACAAGATTTGAACTCGATTAAGGATGCCGTATAAATATAATCACTGATGCAGGAGAATTAAAATCTAGGTCACCGTTTATTCTATATCAATCCATCAATATTAACCACACATGATCAGTACGTAATATTGTCAGTATATTTGTTAATACTAACTATTGACCGTGTTAGCTTTATACTTTATGTATTATGCGTTATGCAAAAGTGTTCCGATTTTTATTGATGATTTTATATCCACAATATTGATGCAATAAAATAATCAGTACAAATAAGCGAAGATCCAAACTAGGTCTTAATGTTTAATAATATTTTTGTGTAAATTTTACAAATTTCAGCTCAAAATTCGAACGATCGTCCTTCTTCGCTTCATGTTATACGTTTCTCGGTCGATTTTTTATTTACTATTTTAAAAAAATTACTATTTAAGGCTACATTCCAAAACGTTCTCTTTGAGGAAAATTTTACTCGAAATGTTACACGTAACATATATTATATTATATAAAATAAAAGAAAAAAGAATTTTCCTCCGAGAGGAAGTTTTGGAATGTAACCTGTAAAAAAACAATATCAGAGGATCCAAGTTAAACAAATTTGATATTATATATTTCAAGCTCTGTTTTATCTAACTACTCGACAGAGAGATATGTATATATACATACATATACACAGTGTATTCGTAGAAATTCTTGAAATATCTCGACGAAATTGTGCAATATTATTATTTAAGCTCGATCGAATTGCTTTATAGCGGGAAGATGATAGAGATGAGAAATGTATATAAATATAATTGCAGAGCGATAACAAAATCATCCGAAGCAATCAACGCGCGATCTACGTTGTAATCTCCATTTAATTACGTTATAATCGGCGACTCGAGTGCACGTCGTGTTTTTTCTTCTTTTTTTTTGGGGTGACAAGAATTTTATCGTCGCAAGTCGGAGCACCGATCGAGGCGTTATTCCCGACTGATGGCCTTCGTTGAGCGATACAATGACAATGCAGATTCCATCCCGACGTTTTTCATCCCGACGAAATTAATTACGATTTTCCTTTGGTTTCAACGTAAAATGTAAAATTCATCGCCGCCAATCTGGAGGAACTTAAGTGAGGTACCTGATAACATTTTCGATCAGCAGATTTAAACCGATCGTATACGCTCCACTATTGATTGACATTACATGTTCTACCAATAGTA